CGACTGCCATTATTGTTGTCACCCGAGCGCGCATTGGTCAACTGGTTGATTACGTTACTCTTGATCATCTGTCCATCATCGTATAAAGCCCGCCCTGACAATTTGATTGGATCGCCTGACAGTGGGCTTTAATACTCGCGCTACTATGGAGCAGAGCCAGACCGAACTTCCCCGAACTCAAATCTTGTGGGCGGGACTAAGTTCGGACTGGCACCCAGGCTAGTTCTGTCATTATTTCCACTTAGAATTTGAGCAGCAGTGTACCGACCAGCAAAAACACATTTAACTTTTAAAAAATAAAATCAGGTTTGTGTAAACTGTTATTTCTTGGATGCAGAAACGGCCAGCCATGATTGAAGTTTGAAGCCTCTATAGCTATATTAGTCAATATTAATTTAAAATAAGTTACTCTAGTAGTAAGAAGTGGAGTGTGGGTATTTACATTCTGTTTGATTTTGTTTTCAAGTTTAAAGTCAGAATCGATATAGTTAGATAAAAACCTAAGCATATGATAATCTGACAGCGTAGGACGATCTGACAGCGTATGATAATCTGACAGCGTAGGACGATCTGATAGAACACCGGCCCCTTTTCCAAAAATCTATGTTCTCCCCAAGCGATTAAAATCTGTGCACATAGAGAGCAATTTAGCAGCAGTCTGTAATGTTAAGTTTCCCCAGTGATTTATTGTGAAGTGCAAACAGTGAGAGCTTGACAGGAATGTCATGCGGTTGTTAGGGGTAACAGCACATCCATAATTTTATATATAATGTGACATCATTGGCCGGAATTAATTATCATAAAAACCAAATCCACATAAACAAGTTTTGAAGTAGCAATGAAAAAGTAGAACATTTTCATTTATTTCTGAGCTTAATGAGGGATCTCTGAATGAACTAAAAATAATCCTTATTATCTCTGTAACAAAAGTAGCACACATGATTATTTATATATTTTTTCCCCATTTTTACAAATGACCATTTTAAGTGAACAAACCTGCACTAATGAAGCACTAACCCTTCAATCTATTTGCTAAGTTTTCTTAGCTGAAGCTCCTCCTATTGACGACGCATTAAACGTTAGATCTGAATGCTTCTTTAAAGTAGTTTCAGGCTTTTCAATGCATGCATGACATGAAAGCAGCATAAAAATGTCAGCAGTGATGTCACATTATTTGTTGTGTCTGGAAAGTTTTTGCATCACAATGTGTTTGATCCAAACAAAGTGAAATCTGCTGCTATAAACTGCTGTTAGGAAGCAGCAAACAAAGGAGAACAGTTTCTGCTTCCACAATTTATCCATCTTTGTTTGTCAATAAATTTTTTCATTTGTCTCAATATTGCTCCTTCTGTAACATCTGCTCACTCTGTCGTTTTTATCACGTAAATGAAGGGAGGGAAAAAAGCAGCATCAATTCTAAGAATC